AGCATAAAAGAGCGGCAAGGAGCTGGAGAGGTAGAGGAATGGAGTAAGGATAGGGAGCCGGCTGTTAGGTTACTAGACTTCTAAGATGAGCTGGGGTTGTGTAGTTTTTTCTTATCTTTGATATGTTTCCTTGTACATGCTTCTGTTTTTACGATGTTACTTACTTTTAAATAGTCTTAATTCTTCTTTTCAAAATTTGCCATTTCTTCCTTTCTTGTCTTGAGTTCACCACTCTCGATGTTGTGGTCTTTTTTCAAACTCATCAAACCTTTTGGGCAAGCTTCCATTCTCTCTCTCACCTTTTACAAACCAAGGGCCTTCACGGAAACAACCATCTACTCCTTGAGGTAAAGGACAGGTCTGCATACATCCCACCTCCAATCCACCTTATACATAATACATATATCCGAACATAATACAAATATCCGAACATAATACATATTTCCGGAGCTCGTTTGGTTTGGTTTGGTAAAGTTTATAGGTACCAAAGTGGCTCGTTCTTGTCACGGTACTTTTTTCTCACAAAGGGCTCAAATATATAAGATTGTTCATACACAATTACACATCTTGACATAAATGTGAAACGTTTTGTATAAGAGGGTGAACTGATGGATAAGTTGCATTATCAACTGCTAGCTGTACATTTAGCGATCTTCTTAACCTTTACACAACTTGGTAAATAGTTGCATTTAACCTTGTTAAACAACTCTTTCGTTGAAGATTGGTTCTAAATGGAAGGAAAGAGATAACTATCACTATACCTCTACAATCTACATATCGTGTTACTGTTGGTAGAAATTTGGTCTCATGGCATAGCAAGACACATGTTGTTGCTCGTTCAAGTGTTAAAGAAAGTGTTTAAGTTTTACAAATCAGTTGTCGATGTTTCACATGATGAAACACATCACAATCAAATCAAGCATGTGATTGTCATGTGAACTTGTATGTTTGGACTTCACAAGTTCCAAAGAGCAAACTGTTGACATTCTTACTAAAGCTCTTTCTTATATTCCTATTGTGAATGGATCTCTATGTTGATTCCTTTCCCTTTAACTATTGCAACATTTTAACTATGAACATTGAGTCATTTAGAGGAAAAGAGAACATAATATGGGGAAAAAACATCTTGGCAAATCAGGTATCAAACAAAAGGGCAAGAATCATGCAAGTAATCATTCCATTTCATTTCGTTCAGTTCAAGCACTTCATGAATGAGGATTGTGTGCTGAAAGCAAAAAGGCAAAAAAAGGAGCTGACCTTTGTGAATAGCTCTCTTCTCGTCATTCATATGCCAAAAGATAAATGCACCACCAATTCCACCTAGAATAACAGTTGGCTGTAATAATATTAAGACAACTGGGATTGTATGTAGTAGCAAAAAAGTCACTTTTCAATCCAAAAGGCCATAACCAAGATAGAAGATAAAAAGACAAACCTTCATGTTATTCGCATACAACAATATTCAAAATGGAAATACGTCAAAAATATCAGAAAATTGAAGTTTACGTCAGCCAACATACAATCAGATAAACTCGCCGCAATGGAGACTCCAATTGTCCCTGTCCCAGTAAAAGGCGGCGACCCTCATTTGACATTTTTGCTGCTCTCATGTAGCTTGAAGAATGAAATCCCATTCGTGTGACATACCTACCCAAGAGTTAAACAAATTGAAACTTATTCTGATGTCCAAAAAAATATATGCAAACTCATTCAAGAAAAAGTAGGAAAGAAGGAAAATAAAAACTTATACGAATTCAAATATGAGAAAAACAGAAAAGTAGAAGATGGATAGAATCAAAGGTTTGATTGCAACTACAAAAACAGAAAATTACCAAAACAAAGATGATCACCGAACCAGGGAAACTTCCCTCTCTCAAAGCGAAGAGCTATGAGCCACAAATAACTATTTAGAAAAATAACCGAATGCCTACAAGTTAAAGGTATTCCCCCTATTTATTAGACATATTCCCAAAGCAAGGGAAAACTAAACCTTATCAACGGTAATCAACACACATTCTCCACGAATCGTCTTTCTCTCAAACTAAAATTACCGGGCTCGAGAACGCACTTTTACTAGGACGGATCATCCCTAACGTCAAAAGTTCTTTAACGTGTCTTTCAATCTCTGCCTTCTGAATATGTAGGTACCGATATGGACGAACACAAATCGGAGACATAGGAGACACTAGTGAAATTCCATGATCATATGAGCGAATAAGAGGAAGACCCCGAAGGGTCCCGAAAAACAGCCACAAACTGCTCTAATAGACATTGTAAGTCAGATTGTTGCTCGTGAGATAGTGTGTCATCCTGTTTACTTAACTCCCCAACATGTGCACCATCCCATAACCTCTTATGAGGTTCCTCCAACTTCAACCAAGTATGAAGAGAAGCTTGCTTAACCTCCGAATTAGATAACCCCTGGATACACACCGAACGAAAATCGCATTGATTGAGTTTTCCAATTGTGTACCACTTCTCCCAATGTTTTTAGCCACTCCATACCCAAGACTAAATCCAACTGTCCCATTTCAAAAAGCAAAGCATCCACCACAAACTCACAGCCGCTAATCAAAACTGGCAATTTCGAACAAAGTTGATTCACAAGAATCATATGTTCGTCTCCCAAAGTAATGTTGATACCCGAGAAAAATTGAGACGTTATTCCCAATGTCGTGACTAATTTACGAGACACAAAATTATGTGTTGTCCCACTATCCACCAAAATTACAACCGGTATTCCCGAAATAGCACCTTCGATCTTCAAAGTTTTACCTCCCGATTTCGCCGTCACTAAAGTGCCCTAATACTCCAATACCGTACAATACCCCATCGTCGGTGGTTCCACTTCGTCTCCCAAATCATCCTCTAATACCTCCATTGCCCTGATTTCCCCACTATCATCGACAATTTCATCATCAGCCAACAATAGAACTCACAATTTACCCTCTGGGGATTTGGGAGCTGAAACAAAGGTTTGACCCGGGCCGGGCGTACGCCAAAGGCCCAGAAAAATTAGGGGCCCAATTTTTTTTAATATATATAATAGTAGTTAAAAAAAATAGTAAATAGAAGACACATAAAAAATTAGTATCTAATATGACAATAAAATATTTTTGTATTACATTAACTATTAAAGACCCAAACATTTATGAATTAAATATATTGGAGAAAAAAGTACATAAAGATGTTAATCTGTCGTTCATTATATAATATTATTTAATGTTTTTATAAGTTTTTTAATCCAAAACCGACGTCTAAAACTACTTGCTTCAAAAACTTTGATATATTCTCCATAATTTATCTCCCATCGACTCTTTTTCTCGCGTGAATTCTATTTTTATATTAGAATATGATAGATTTTTTTATTATTAGCTAACAAAACCCTCATCTTTTGAAAAAATTACCAACCATATAAGACGGTACAACTTATATCTATATTTAGAATAATAAAACTATAATTGTTTTTTCATAGTTGTTCTTTATTATCTAATATTTAGTGTATAAATCTTATGTACTATTCTATCTCTAAAAGAAGAAAAAGATCTCAAACTATCACCGACATGAGTTTTATAATTTATATAATTGATGATTCCAGAAAAGTTTGTTTTAATCCTAACTCTATGTTTTTGAGTCTTCTTTTACGTAGGAAAGAGAGAAAAGTAATGGGAGAAGAAAAATATTTTGTTCTCGAGATTTTTTTAGGAAGGAAAAGAAAAGGAAAGGAAAAAAATTATATCAAAGTTTATTTTTATTTCATTATTTTTTCTTCCTCTCTCTTCTCTATTAAAAACACATTAAAAAAATCCTTTATTTTTCTTCTTTCCTTTTATTTTTCTTTTCCTTTCTCATTCTTTCTTTCCTTCCCAAATTCGAAAACATAATATAAAAGTTTAAAATGATGTTAATCTTCTCAAATTCAAAAACATAGTATAAAAGTTTAAAATGGTGTTACTCTTCCAATAATCAAAAACATAATATATAAGTTTAAAATGGTGTTAATCTTCCAAAATTCGAAAACATAATATAAAAGTTTAGAATGACGTTAAAAAACATTAACATGAGATGACATGGAAAACCAACCTATTTACATTGATTTACATAGTGTCACTCGGAAATCAAAAGAATCGACTTTGTGACTCCAAATGATATCATTCTATGTACCCAAAGTATATCATTGGATGTTTTTGATGATGAAATAAATTACTGATACTACATAAAAATGTTCTAGTAGATAATATTAATTTAGAAATAAATATTGATTGATTATGCGTCAAGGAATACTTGGAAAAACGATTTAATATGAATTCAATGTTATTTCTGATGATAAAAACAATATATTGAAAAAATATCGTACTTATCGAGGGCCATTTTTTACATCTCGCCCAGGGCCTAAAAAATGTCAGAAACGGGCCTGGGTTTGACCGCAGCGAAAACATAATCCCTTCTTGCGGCGATCCTCCCATTCAGTATGAGAAAGAGATCGAAACCCTCTGTTGCGATTTCCTGTTGATATGTGATCAATGAACGTGGTCGAAATAGGTCGTGTATATGAAATCGATGGATTAGGTACTGATCGACTAGGATTAAACCGAAGAATTGAGCCTTTGTCATTCGGCCCAGAACTAACATATGCTTTAACATCAAATCGGCCCAAGGGCGACTTCAGATCAAAACGAAAATTCGATCCAAAACCACTTCCCATGTTCTGATAACGAAAACGAAATTTGGAAACACTGATCGAAGATGGACACAACATTTGTTCAACATCCTTAGCCAAATACATGGCGTCCAGACGGGATTGAGGACGATGAAGTCGGACCCAACGTTTTACCTCATCGCGTAAACCAACGACGAAATATCCCAAGGCTTGGGACTCTAATAAACGAGGAATTAACGACAATAGGTATTCAAAATCTTTGATGTACTCATGAATGGAGTTTAGCTGCTGAAGCGTTGCCAATTGCTCATAAGGATTCTGAATCTCCAACCCGCTGAAACGCTGTAAAAGCTCTTTAGTAAAATGCTCCCACAATAACGGTACATAGAGCTCATTAACAATTCCGTGAATCTCAAAGTAGAGTTCCGCTTTTTTGATCCAACCTTGAGGGTCGAAACCCAAAAACTCAAGTAATTTCACCTTCTTCGCTGCCCAAGGAAGATGATCAGATGATGATCGATCCCCCTCGTTATCAAAAGGAGAAGTCATCTTCTGGTGTCAGAAAAATTATGATTCATCCTCCTTCTCGAACAAACCAGATGGTCTCCCAATCCATCAACCGAACGTTTGTCCTAATTTTTGACCTAATTTATCACAAATTTTCGGAACTCTGCTTGCTCCACATCCGATTCCACAAATTGAATGGCCAATTTGATCTCGGTCATATCAGCTTGAAGTTTCTGAATCTGTTCCTCATGACTATCCAATCGATTTTGCTCAGAACGAGTGACCATCATGAATTCCGGCAGATCAATGGCAGGTCGGACCAATGATACGAATTCAAATATGAGAAAAACAGAAAAATAGAAGATGGATAAAAACGAAGGTTTGATTGCAACTAAAAAAAAAGAAAATTACCAAAACAAAGATGATCACCGAACTAAGGAAACTTCCCTCTCTAAAAGCGAGGAGCTATGAGCCACAAGTAACTATTTAGAAAAATAACCAAATGTCTACAAGCTAAAGGTATTCCCCCTATTTATTAGACATATTCCCAAAGCAAGGTAAGACTAAACCTTATCCTTTTGTAAAACTAAACATTATCCTTTTGTAAAACTAAACCTTATCAACTAAACCTTATCCTTTCTTGGACCGTCTTGCATATACCTTTAAAACTTTGGGCTTGGGTAAAACATCCAATTTAGGAGGATTCGTAACAAAAACAGATGGCAAATTAGGTGTTGTGAGGTTGGTTTTCCATCAAGTCTTATAGGGATGAAGATGACTGTGTGGATTAATCTACTTGTATAGATTGGGAGAGTTTTTGTATGGGAGGGTTTTCTCGTAGATGAAAGAAGCATGTTTTTTAATTGGGAGGGGCAGGTTTGAAAAATCCCCCCCTAGAAATTTACCAAATAAACCACTTTCTATATCATTAAGCCACTACCAAACAATCATGTATAGTTGACTGAATAAGTTGTGAGTATATCAAAGAGGTCCTTAGTCTTCCAAAATAAAGATGGTGGAGGCTATTATTTAATGCAGTCCAAAACCGATCTACATTTTGACATTTTTGTTCAAATGAGTGAATTAGGACCCAAACCCAATATACATCTGACTCAAATATGGAGGAATCCATGTTAAATTATATAGGATAACAGAAACATAATCCTCAAGCACAATACCAATAGCTTCCTAATAAAAGCATATGAATAGCACATATTTCTAATTGCAAGTGGGTAATTTGAATGTCTTGGCTACCGGATATGATGATAGCACAAAGTGACTACTGGATCTTACCCTTGTCCTAACAATTTCAAATTTCCCCAATCTAATTACGATTTTAACATCTAATGCAGTAATTGCTAATTACGGATGCTTCAATTTCCACGTTCATGAAAACACGAATACCCAGTTACTTTCAAGCCAAATTGAGAGTATAACTGGAGTACAGAAAGACCCTCAGTTAACCTAAAAGTGCAGAGGTTCGTCATTTGACTTGACCAAGAACACAAAGAAATTTAATAGAAAACTACGCATTCAAGTAGGAAAACACCTGTTAATTCTTTTACGACAGATTTTCAGAAAAAATCAAACAGATCAGAGTGGAAACTATCATGTAAAATCACCTTCTAGGGAAAAATAGAGACTCGGCGGACTTCTTTCCAATGGAAAACAACGAAACCTTGGACACAGGCATGAATTGAAGAAGCTGAACCGCAAAAGGAATTCCAAGTACGCAAAACTTCAAAACCCTTTAAAACCCATTTTCATAAACCTCTGGAAGTGGGTTTTCTTCTGGGGGTGGCAGGACGTAATACGTGATAGGGAAGAGTAGAGGCTTTGCACCCGGAATAGGACAAATGCAGATCCAGAAGAATGGGTCTGGGCAAAACAAGTATCTTTTAAATCTTTTTTTTTTTAATATATGTTGAAAGTTGGAATTTTCTTTTTCTTTTCAAATGGTTTTGTTATATACATTCAATAATTGATTAAAATAAATTATCTATATCTATACTATCTTATAAAGCATTTGGCTAAAACTCTTAAAAACTCTTAAACCCGTTCATTCCTATCCGATTTCATCTCATATCTGAATTCGTGTAACTAACTGCATATAAACACAATCAAATACGGGATAAATATCTCATTTAATTATAAAAAATCTAAAATATAATTAGTATAATCATTAAATTCTAACAGAATACTTAATTATTATCTTTATAAAATTTATAATATTAAACCAAAAATAAATTATTTTAATATTAAACTTAAATCAAATTATATATAAAAAAATATAGTACTATATTATAAAGCAATTGACAAAAATTCTTAAAAACCAATTTTTATGCATTAATTACTGTTTATTGATGCATACTACTTAAAATTCAAGATTACAAGTAAATTATGCTTAAGTACAACTTATTAAAGCTCCATACTTGAATTCGT